TAATGATTTGAAAAATGCCTTTTACATGGGAAAGTTAAAAAAAAAAGTTTATATTGGATGCTCTAAGAACATTCAATAGTTCTTTCACAGAAATAAGTATGCAGATAAAAAAAGTTATTATGTTGCCTTAAACAATTTTGAAACTTTTCATTTGCCATATTTACTGAATTCATATATGGAATGAGAAAAATAAAGCTAAGGAGATCATATACTCTTAATAAAACATTCTACAGATAAAAGAAAAATCATTTTTATTGTGCATGTTTATGATATGATTATTATAAGTGATCAATAAAAGAAACAAATTTCTTAGAAAAAAACTCACATCAAAGTTTGAGATTAACTTTGACAAGCTCAATTGTTTTCTTGCTATAGAAGTGGCTCAACTTGAAAAAGGAAATTTTTATATCAACAAATAAAAGTTAAAAGTTTTTTTTAGAGGAACAAAATTGATTAATTGCTAACCTTGTGAAACTTCAATTGAATTATGACCGAAACTGGATACCCATAAAGAAGGAACATAAGCTGATATTGGACAATATTAAAGATTAATTGGGCAATTCAATCTATCTATCTTATATTTATCTTAACATTGTTTTTAATGTATGCTTGATAAGTTCATTTTTATGCAAATCAAAGGAATTTAAACTTCAAGTTACTTTCGGAGTTCTCAGATATTTAAAATCAAATCTTGACAAAAAAGATTCCTATAGATAATATGAAACTTTACAGTTTCAAAGTTACACCAATATGATTATTCGGGATCATTAGTGGATTGGGGATCACTTCTGAATGTTGTATATTATTGGGAGAAAATTTAATAGCTTGGAGAAGTAAAAAATAACATATTGTCATAACGTCAAGTGTTAAATTTGAATTTAGATGAATCACTCATAGTGTTTGCGAACTCCTGTGGATTAAAATTATAGTAAAAGATTTAAGAATTAAATGGGAATAATCTATGTGAATATAGTGTGAAAATAAGCATGCCATTAGCATTACAATCCAATGCAATAAAATTGAACCAAATATGTGGTGGATAAGCTTTTCATAAAAAGTGGAACTAAGATGCTGATTAATTAGCACTCTATTTTTTCTCTTTTGAGCAGTCAATTTGCCTGCGTATTTATTAAAGGATTTTGAAATTTTGAATTAAAAATTGTTTCAAATAAATTTCGAATGATAATGGAAATATATGAATTGCTAAAAAAGAATGAAAGGAGCCACATATTTATGTTTTACATAAAGAGAAAACTTTGTCATAGATTCACATGCTTAAAATGGGGGGCGGGGCAGAGGTGGAGGGGAATACTTACCATGTAAAGGGGAGTGTCACTAATTGCTCTTTTTTTCCCACTGGCCAAGATAGAAAGTTTGGATAACCATTTTTTTTTATTTTAATTTTTTTATTTTTAGTAGTTTATAATTATTTTTTAGGTAATTTTCTATATAAATACTTATTTGGAGGAACTAGTAAAATAAACTTTCTAGTCATTTCCTTTTTATATCACTTCTAATTGATATTTTGAAGAAACATAAATTTTTATGAGCTAATGATAAAATTTTTTGAAAACTTAATATGTTTTATTGACTACTTCACTTTTTCCAAGACTTTTTTATTTTTCATAAGTCCGGTGATTTGTTTAGTCAATAAAATAATTTTATAATATTTTTTAACGAGAAACTCAATGAAGCAAAATAAATATATTCTACTTATGATTAAAGACTTATATGCCATTATCTAATCTTTAAAATATTGAACATAATATATGATACTAAATAAATTTATTTTAAGTTCTAATTTTTGGACTCTGAAATTCATTGATACACAATGGAAGTTAAAGCGATTTCTGTGTCAATTGGTGTTCAAATTAAGCTAGTAATTTTTTTAAAAAGTTTTTGTGATTAAAAATATAAACATGGGTTTAAATGTATGCCTAGTAATGCATAATTTTGAGATACTATTATTTAGAATTACAAATTCTTGCATTTTAACTAATTAAAGAAGATTATCCACTTTGTCCTGCTCATAAAGATAAAACCAACCTTAATAATATAATTTCATTGTCTAATGTATATTTATGTAATAATTATGTATTCCTAGGTCATCTATAAGGAAATTATTTGTTCGACACTTTAGAAAAATATTAGATAGTTTATTTAGCTGAAAATATATTTTATTGGTTGAAAGATTAGTATCTCACTTTTCATGAAGAGTGGCTTAAACTAAAAAAAAAAGAATACTTTGAAATATATGCTGCACTTTCAATCTGCCATATAATTTGGGATGCCCTTTTAATGAATTTTATTTTTGGCTAACCTATAATCTCTTGGTAATGTATTAAGCATTTTCATTGCTCTTGATAAATTCTCTAAAATGAGTCATTTTTTATTTTGTTTTAAAACAAATGACACTTCACACAATTTTTTTGAAAGATTGTCAAACTTTATGGTCTATCATCCATTATCCTTTTATATAATTATGTTTAAATTTTTGTCATATTTGCTATAAAATTATTTGGAATTCAATTAAAGTTTCCATTTGCTTTTGATGATGTAATTGGTGATCAAATATAAATTGTGAATGGAAGTGTGGGTAATTTATGATGATGCTTAGTAGGTAAAAAACAATCACTTGAGATCTTCATTTGCCAAGAAAATAACAGTTGAAACTATTTATGCTTATAACCTCAATTGGCCTAATAATATATTTAATATTCCATCCCCTGTATTTCTTGAAGTTGCATTTATATTTACATATAGTTTTTATGATCTTCATGCAGATATGAAACAAAAAATTGGGATAAGCGAAGATAGATATGCTAAAGCTAGGAATCAAAAGTGTTATCTCGTGGATATAACAAGGGCTATTACTAATGCGACATGACCACAATATAGAGAAAATTACATGCAATTGCTTGTGCTCATTCAAATTTTTTAAAGAACTTCGATAGAATTTCCTTCTAATATCTTTATTAGTCCATTTTAATTTGGAATATATTTGATCATTTTAATGAGTTATAAAGCCTTGGGATTTACATATTAACCATAATGTAGGAGATCAAGATCATTAATCGTTGGTGTCTCCATCCACACTTTCTGAAAGTTGAAGCTATGATTTTAGATGAAACTCAAACGCCTACAAACTCTACCTATTGATTTTCATTAAAATGGAATAGTCAACCTGCTTTTAAAGGCAATTAGACGGTTAGGGAAGTTTTGGAGAATCTTGCATTGGACCTAATGAAGGACTTGATTTTATCTTTGCAAAGAGGTGCTCTTCATGATCCATCAGAGTTGATGTAGAACAACCATTGCACATAGCAATTACAAGTGCCTTGCATCACTCTTGAAGACTATCATCTTTCACAAAATTTGAAGCACGATAAATTAAAGCTTAGTCAGCTCCTCTTCTTGTTGAATTCCAATGTGCCAAAGCTTGTTCTACTCTCCTTCCAAAAATAACAAGTTCACCTCCATTAAATCTTGAAGATTATCATCATTAACAAGGTTTGAAGCACAAGAAAATAAAGCTTGTTCAGTTCCTCTGGTTGAATTTTAATGTGCCTCGGCCTGTTTTCCCACCTCCATTCAATCATGTAACGTGTTTCATACCCGGCTTCCCCCACTTTTTTCCCTCTTTATAAATATCGCTCTCAACTCTGGTGTAATCCTGGTGGGAGAATTGAATGAAAATACAAAATTGATTGTTTTTGTAATTAAAGATTGGTGGCTTCCTTCCATTGAAGGACTGGTGAGTTCTACTTATTTTTGCATTTGCTTTGGTTATCCCCCTCTCTCTCTACCTACTGGCCTAAACCTGGCTACCCCTCTTCCATCTACCACACTAGCTAACCCTATTTAGGGTACCCTCGTGTCCCCCTCCCTCCTCCCAAATTGACCCTAATTCGACCCTTTGTTGGAATAACATAGGCATGTACATAGTTTATTACCAAAATGTTTGTGAAAATATTAATAGATTAAATTGGGATGTATGGGACCAAGGATTAAGTTTCCAATATATTCACAAAAAGGCTAGCCAGAACGAAAGTTGAAAAGTTTCGAAGGCAACTTGGCGTGGCCAAAAGAAGAGCAATGCTAAGAGTAGTTGCTGCGAGGTGTAAAGAGAGTACCGAATCCCTCTAGAAATCTCTCCTCCCTCACCCCGCACTTGTAGAAAATGTCTTTGTTGACAAGTCACTCGCTTTTAAGAATTGTTTAGATGGTGCATGGAAGATTGTAGAAATTTATAGATGATCAAATAGGTAGAAATATCTATAGTCTTGTAAATTATTCTAGACTTGTGTCTTTAGTTCTTGTATGTCTAAATATTTCTAGAGTATTGTGGATAACTCTAGAAAGTTTCTAGAGAGCCATAGAAATTCCTTATCTTTCGAGGGAGAAGCTTTGGAACCTATGAATATGGGAGTCTTTCCTCATTTGTAATATGAATTCTTTTTTGCATCTTTGCTTAGAATCTCTCTCTATATAAGTATACAACTATACAAGTAATGCTGCGCACAATAGAAAAACCAACATGAAAGAATAGTGCCATATCATTGCCTAAAAGACAGCTGATGTTACATTCTATAGTTATGCAAATCTTCTTCTTTTTCATCTAAAATAATATATCACTCAATAAATTATTACTAATGCAAATATAAGATTTTTTTGCCTGAAAATTAGTTATTTAACAAAATATAAATCAAATCATTATGAAATAATCTAATTAGGTAGATTGCCCAAACTCAACTGAGTAAATTGATAAGTAAAAATAACTTTCTTCCTTCGTGGATCGACTTAATTTCACCAGAATAACTTTGTTACAAATATAAGAAGATTCATGCAAGCATCAGTTGCCATGTTTGCAGTGTAGATTTATTTGGGTATTTCATGGACTGTAACATGCTTTAACGTATATGCCCCGGCCTTTCATTTTTCTGGTCCATCTCTATGCAATAAGATTATGCCTAAATTTCTGGTTTCATTTTTTTATTTAGGTAAAGGTTATAAAATGTCTCGTAGACGGCATTGTTGTGGACATATCATTTTGTCAGACTGGCGGTTTACGTGCCCTTTGTCTCCTCGAAGAGGTGATCTTCAACCTCTTCATTATGTTATTGAGTTTTCGTACAGAATGAAGTGATCAAATTTTTTATTTATATGCATCATTTAGTTTATAGGATCATTTTCTTTGTAGATGGACCGTTTGATAAGTAAAGATCATTTATTTAAGCGGAGTATTATTCTTATTAAAGCTTGGTGTTACTATGAGAGCCGTCTTTTGGGTGCTCAGCATGGCCTTATTTCTACATTTGCTTTGGAAACCATGATTTTGTACATATTTCATTTATTTGACAATTCATTTTCTGGACCACTTGAGGTATTTAGTTCCCCTTGGCTTAACTTTCTTGGGGCATTTACATACATAGCACGCAATTCTTATGTATTTGCATATCTCACACCTAAACTTTCATATTTACACACTAAATATGAAAGTTTAGGTGTGAGATATGTAAATATACATAAAAATTGTGTGCTGCGTATGTAAATTTTCCAATTTTCTTTTGCCTACTGGAACTTGGGATGAGAAGAAAAAAATCATCTTTTCTTTTCTCTTTCATTCACAGGTTCTATACCGTTTTCTAGAAATTTTCAGCAGTTTTGATTGGAAAAACTGTTGTGTCAGCATATGGGGTCCTGTCTCTCGACATTTACTCCCAGAGATAACTACTGGTAAGCTAATCTTTGCATTCTGCCCGATATTTAATAGCATTTCTTGAAAGGAGAATTTACATGCATACCACTCAGTTCTTATGTATTTACATATCTAACACATAAACTTTGCTTTTTACATTTCTTCCACCCAAATATTTCATTATTTCACATCAAAAGTACCACTATTTTAAATTTTAAAAGGTTAAATACATCTTTTCATGTGTAAGGTTATTTGCAAAAATTAAAGTTTAGGTGTTAGATACGGAAATGCACAAGGATTGAGTGAATTGTATGTAACTCTTCGATCCTAGAAAAGAAGCATTTGTTCACCTTTTGATAATTATTCAGCAATGCCTCCGAGAAAGAAAAATGGTGAATTTGATCACAAGAAATTATTTCTCCAACATCGCAGCAAGTTCATCGACAGTTTGGCGTGCGGTCAACACTGCCATAGACAACCTTTTACTACGAAGTGCCTCAACATTGTTGATCCTTTATGTATACACAACAACCTTGGACGCAGTGTTTATGAAGGTATTTTTGCGCTTTGTCGACAAGTATTTATGTGGAATTTTCTTCAAAAATTAAATATTTCGATAGCATGTTTATATTTCTTAGGCTATGTTTATTCACAGATAAAGTGCCAAAATAGCCCTCTAACTATTTACATGTGGCATTATAGTCCCAAAATCTACAAAAAAAAATTCACGTTCTTTTAATATGGGTTGAAATAATTGGAGGATTGTTTTAGCCCCTATTAAAAGAATCTAGTTATTAAATTGACACTTTGGTCTACTCTGAGACTAAAGGACTCGTGACATAAAATTACAGGACCATTTTGGCACTTTTCTCCTTTATTCGCTCTATTATTCATAATTCTAACAAATTTCTAATTTACCGAATATTTATGAATGCTTTCTATTGTTTCAGCCAATTTCTATAGGATTTGTAGTGCTTTTGCATTTGGGGTTAAAAAGCTATCCAGATTACTCGATTTTCCGAAGGAGGAGATGATTTCAGAGCTCAATCACTTCTTCGTGAACACATGGGAAAGACATAGAGCTGACCCTCACAACAGTTCTGCTACAAGCGCGGCCCACTCGGAACCGTCCAAAAATATTTCATTCAATGAACACATCAATAATATTTCAGAGGATCCTGGTGATGACCATCGTGCTGATCTTAAGCTCTCTTTCTATGGCGCTACCTCCCAGATTCTTAGAGTGATTAACCAAAATTCAGAGGACATTAGTAGGCATAATGGAATAAAAAGTAACAAAGATTACAGTAATGATAATACTATTAAGAATCTGGATTATGTAGAAAAAACCTCCGCAAATCCTGTTAGAACCAATAAGAATGATGAAAATCTGAGTTACAACAACAGTAATGGCATTGAGGAAGGCGATTCCAGGTTGCAGGGTCAGCTTGGTATGGTTCGCTCTGAGAAAATACATTTTCGCTCTCACCCGACAAACCTTGGTGAGGTCTCTAATGGAGAAAGCCACGATACGATCCAAAAATCTCATATTCATGAAGCGGTAACTTCTGTGGATTACTCTTCATGTTCAGAACAAAGTTCATCTTTTCAATCTAAACTTTTAAGTAGTGCTTCTTTTGAAAACTACCATGATAATACTATTTCTTCAACTGAAACTTCTTTGAAGCGTTCTTATTATGAATATCCCGCACAGGAAAACTACAGAGCTCCATTAATTGCTGTTAATACTGAAGTTACAAAAAATCAAACTGCCCAAATAAGTGATTATGGGGCAATTTCCAATTCTGGGGTGGTTTCTTCAATACAGTGTCCCACAGGTCCGCCAGTCCCATTCTTAGCAATGCTTCAGATATATAATTTTCCGTCTCACCGGAGATACTATGATGGATTGTATGGATTGTCTGATGATGAAATATTAAATTTCGATCGAAATGTGGATTCCGGTGGGACGTTTGATTGGCCGGATATTCATGTTGCTGCACATGTGAAGCCAGTTCTCTCTAATGGAATATCTAGCACGAATATTTCGTTATTTGGACCCACCCCCCGTCCTTGTCCTACCATAGCACCCAACGTGTATTTTCGTAGGATTTTTCCACCGATTCAACCTGTTGGATCGATTCCATCCCCTGGAGTCCAAGTTGTGCCAGCCGCCTGTGCTTTGCCAGAACCTCAAATAGCTTATAACGCACTTAGTTTCGGAGATGGAGCCGCTACACATTATGGCGGCATTGTATCCCATCAGCCATGTCCTGTGAGTATATTGTTTGGGACAGCTTTTTACCTGCTTTGCGTTTCAGATTGTCACCACAGTTTTGTTTGATACTATTTTCTTGTTATTTTTTTGCAATTTTGTGGTGAGAGAACGCTCTTATAATCAAGTATATTAAAATATAGTGGCTGTATGAAAATTCTTGGTCGACTTTCTAGAAAAAAAATTATTTATAATTCTCGTAACAGTTTTCTAGAATAGGATAATTACATACATAGCACCTGAAACATTGCTATTTACAAAACTTAGCACTCATGTGATATTTGTTGAACTTCCTAGCTGATGTATTTACTTGCGCCATGATCAAACCTTTGAGAATTTGTTAGAAATGAAAAATATGGGTTGGGGTTTTATCATGAATTTTGATACTTGAGTGAGAATTTGAAAAATGGAAAAAAGAGGTTGCTAGATCTGTAAATAGCAATGTTTCAGGTGCTATGTATGTAGACTGCCCTTCTAAAAAACTTTTTTCCCTGTCACAATTTTACAATCACTTGTATAAAAAGCTGCTGCCACCCCAAACAAACATTTTTAATGTGTTACTTTTGATTTCTATGAACTTTGCTAATAACCACAAAGTAATTTGTAACTCCAATCAAATTCAATATGCTATTTTGGTACTTCAGCTTTTGTGTTTTTTCTCTCTGCCAACTTTGTCCACTCTAAATGAAACTGCATCTTATTATTAAGCTTTTATATTCAATATTTCATCAAAATTCTTAATAAAAACTTATTCTATCATCATTTTATGAAGAAAATTTCCATTAAACGAACTATGAATATCATCTTTTCTTATACTTGTTCATAGTGCTCCATTATAGGACTGTGGAAGTTGAAAATGATCTTCCCTTGCCTCCTTTTCTATTCAGAGAGTTGTTCTCGGAGATTTGTCACAAACTGCAAAACAAAGTTGGAATTGCAGTCCTTATGGAACAAACCTCGATAAAGGAGAACAAAATTACATCAATAGAAGTCCGCAAATGTTCTGGCTCACCAACGAGCCGAGCTATTCGGAGAAGCCGAACACACTTGCAGGTTGCTTGAATCCAGATTACAGCCAAATTTCTGGATCATCTGATTACTGTAGGAGCTCATATCTAGCAGAGAGCAGCTCTATCGGATCTTCAAGTTTTTCACGTGTTTCGACGTACGTGACACAGGGAATGGATTATCCACAGTTTTTGACAGTTCAATCGTCCTCATCGTTGCAGCGCCAGAGGTATCACTTGTCATCCATTCTTGTGCTCTTCTTTGATTCCTTTTCTAATTTGAAACTAGCAGCAGAAGTTTCATGATGCTGGAATGGGCTATTTTACGTGAAATGCGTCAAAATGGTCTTCTCACCCTTCATGGAGGGTCATTTTGGTCCCCAGACTTTTGAATATTGGTTGAAATAGTCCCCATTGAGGATTATTTTAGCCACCATTAAATATTATGAGAATTAATTTAGCACTTCTTTAAACTCTGGGATGAAAATGACCTCATCTAAACAAATGTACTTGGAGGCATTAGTTTGATTTTTTGAAGTATTGAGTTATGAAGTTTGGAATTATGTTATCATTCAATAATGTAGGCATTATCACCAAAAGCAAATATTCGAAATGTTTTTGAGCAGGGCTCTGATATAAAATTGACCTTTATCATCTTGAGGCATTTACATGGCACAAAATTCTTTATGTGTTTACATCTCTCACACCTAAACTTTTATATTTTTGCACATAGCACTCAAATCTTTACTATCAAATAAAAAATAACACTTACCACTTTTTAAAAGTGAAATACAAGTTTTTATGTATTGTTTTAAAGCACAAAAATATTGTAAAATTTAGGTGTGAAATATGTAAATATGTAAGAATTATGTGCTACGTATGTAAATTTTCTTTTTATTTAAAATTCTACATTGGATTGCACTGGTTGTATGTCGGAGAAAATTAATGATTAGTCGATGATAGTTTTTGGTGATCCTCTCTTTATTCTAAAACACTAACATGTTTGCAATTTCCCTCTCTATATTTTTTCTTATTTCTATCTATAAATTATATTGGGGAATCTACATTCATAATACCACACAATTCTTATGTATTTATATATTTTATGCCCAAAGTTTGATATTTATATTTATAATATTTCGGTCTCGTAAACTTACGCATGAAAATATGTATTTCACTTTTAAAAACACATTAATAGTGATATTTTTGATGGGATATTTAAATATGAATGTTTAGGCGTTTGATTATGTAAATACATAAGAATTGGTTTGTGTGTATGTCTGTAAATGCCCCAATAAAATTTAATTTTCGATGAACTAAAGAGTGTTGAGAGGCAGGCCGGGTCACCTAATCCGACAATATAATGCAGCGGATCTGAATCAGTTAGGCATGTAAGAGAGTTGAGAGGCAGACTGGGTCACCTAATCCGACAATATAACGTAGCAGATCTGAACCATTTGGGCACGCCCCTAACCGTAAATCAGCCCCTATCTATCGCTAAAAAGCTTGTCGAAAATCTTCATTAGAAACCGACAACATATGGACGAGGAAACTTGCGGCGACATTGATTTAGCGATGAGAATTATGTTTGACATGTTAAATTTTTGAATGATTCATTTTGAATAATTGTGATTCCATTTTGTGTGACATCGTATTGTCATTTTATTCTACATCAACCTAATCGGAGTTTTTCGATAATTTCGCAGATTTATGGTGCAGAAGAATCATCAGTTGAAAGAAGAGGGCTTCCCTCGATGATTTCCCATTCATGCAGAGATGAACACCAATACCTACTCTGCTCTACTCTGATTTTGTTTTCTTTTAAGGTTTAATTACATAATTCTCCAGTTTTTTGGCTTAATGTCCTTAGGCCATTGTAGAGTATTAGATTGTACTTTGCAAAAAAGCCAATAGTTTTCAGGATACAAGCCAAAAAATGCTAACATTGATATAGGAGTTTTCCCTTTTTTTTTTTTTTTGGAAATAAGAAATAAGTAGTTTCATTCCTTTTAGTTAGCCTGCAAATAAAAAAAAGGAAAATTGCAATTCTTTGCATTTGTGTAATCTCTACAATTTCATTTTTCTAGCAGAAATAAAAATAAATATATATATTTTTTTTTTTGCTCCTTTTTTGTGTCATGATGCAATGCTCATAATTTAAAATGCAAATTCTCTGGTCAATTATTTCTCAAGAAATTTACATGCATACCACATAATTCTTTTGTATTTAAATATCTGGCATCTAAAGTTTAGGTGTTGGATATGTAAATATATAAGAACTGTGCAGTATGTATGAAATTGTCCCTTTTTATGTTATTTGCATAACTGCTTCCCATTCTACTAAGATTTCTGTTGATTCATATGATGATATTGAGTTTATTTGTCTCATGTTATGAAGTTAAAAAAATATATATAAATTCAAATAAATCAATAATTATTTCTTATCCATAACTGTTAAGTTTTTGCATAGAAGAGCTCTAGTAGTCTTTTATGGGATTATTTCAGTCTCAATTTTAAAAGTCACATTATTCTGATATTTCTATAAACTCTGAAAATAATGTCCCGTGTAAATAGTTGGGGATTATTTTAACACTTTACTCATTTTGAGAGTAACATTGTTGATTATTTATTTATATATCTAATATCTAAATTTAATATTTATTTATATACATTAAAGTATTTAAATTCACATAAAAAAAATCACTAATATTATTTTAATGTGAAATACCTTTTCATATATATATATATA